GCGGAACACAGTTGAGATATGCGATCACTTTAACCACCACGCCCCTCAATATTTCTGTCATCTTGTCATTGGTGTGTCTTAAATGTCTCTCCAACCATTTTGTCTTCATACACTGAACATTTCATTAAATATATAATTTTAATTAATTAAATTTCTCATGTACCACCGCTAGTGGTCACCTAGAGTGAATAAAGGTTGTTAGTTATGCCAATGTACACCCAACGAGTAGAAATATAATCACACGTCTTGGGGTTAATGTTTACACGCTCCAGAAACCACCTCCAGTTTGAGTACGCGCGGAGGTAATGTAGGCACATTCACTGTCATTACTATAGGTCATTATTGTGCGGTGTCTACATATGCAGCAGAATGTTTCCCAGACAAAATAGAAACAATATAAATATAAAATATCAATGCAGAGGAACAGATTCAACCTGGCGTAAAGGGCAAAATAGCTGTGAAATGTACGAGATTCAACACCACTGTGGAGTCAATGTTACAGCATTCACTTATAATTATATGTAAATGTCGGGTAGGTCGAAACACATCGTCGGAACTCCTGTACACGAGGTAATCATGCATCACAGCGTTGCACGCGGACGTCATATGATATCACGGATACCTACCTGAATTGCACATGCACAATACAGCGCCCATTTTGCCCCCTTTTCGAATATTTGTTTTCACGTAAGAAATCTGCTCATCAAACCTTCAAAAAGTACTATCTATTTCAAATCAGCCTCACCTTTTAACTGTGCAAAGTGCGTTTGAAGCAAATGTTCGAGTTAAAGACACATCAAATGTCAATGCTATAGAAACCGAATCTATCTGTATGGCCTGCCGATTTCTTTGCACCCACAGAACAATGTCAAAACGACCCACTGCAAAGCAGGTCAATAGAGTGTCGCAATCCGAATCAACAAAGGGGGAGGAAGGCTCATACTCGGTTACAATAACAAAACATAACAGACATATCGTGTAATATTTTGCAGTCTCAAGTCTCCAAGGTTTAACTGGCAAAATGATGTGTAATGTTTTCAAAGCAATATTTTCAGTTCAAGATCTGTCTGGGGCTGTCGGGTAGCCTAGTGGTTAAAGCGTTCGCTCGTCACGCCGAAGACCCGGGTTCGATTCCCGACATGGGTACAGTGTGTGAAGCCTATTTCTGGTGTCCCCCGCCGTGATATTGCTGGAATATTACCATACTCACTCACTCACTCACTCAAGATCTGTCTACATCAGAATAAAATATCCATGAAGATGTCCGACCCTGTGTTGAACTTCATTAGTATGGTCACATATACAAAGGAGTGCGGCGTTAAACAATAACAAATAAAACAAAATTACAGATCTGAACAATGAGGTCAGATGAGAGGGCAACCTACAATATACTTACTGCAAATATTCTGGGCGCAAGAGAGAGAGAGAGAGAGAGAGAGAGAGAGAGAGAGAGAGAGAGAGAGCACAGTTGAGATCTAACTTTCAGGCACACTATAGCAAAAAGTTAACAAGCGGAGTAAGATTGAACACAGTTTCAATTAGATGAACTGCGGTTCAATCTTATTCCAATTATTTACGTTTTCATCTTCGTAGAATGAGCATGTTCGATTGTACAAAAATATTTCGACACCAACATAACAGCGTCAAAATCCCATCATCATATGAAATGTTCACTACGCAAAAACATCTTATTTGTGACAAAGACATTTCAGAATGGTTATCCGAACATCCGAATATGTGATCGTATCCTGCCCAACCGGTGGAACCATCATAAACACATGCAAAGGCACGTCAATTGTTTACCTGAAAAACAACATGGGAACCTATGGTGCAAGTCAAAATAGGGAATTGCATAGGACACCATTTTGTCACTGGTGTGTCAAATTTGGAAATATCCTCCACATGTCTACCATAAAACATTTTAAAAGCGACATGCAAACAGTTACTAGTACATGTATCGCCACGAACTATTTCGGGCTAAGCTATGCAGAAATGCACCATTCTTTGTGACAGATCCAGTTTTAACACAAAGGAGGTCACGTCGTTCTCTCGTCGGCTATGTTTTTCTAGCCAGCACAAGCCCACACTATACTGTCGTCGTCGCGACCAAATGACGACATCCCCGCTATATTCACCTTAACCAAATTCAGGCGTTTTCAACAACGCTTTACAGTTGCCGGTACCACTAGAAGTGGACCGTCACAATGGACGGGGGTTACGGGGTGTACAGAATCACCTGTCTGATGGCACTTGTACATATCAGCCTACACATCACTCCAGGTAGGACATGTGTCATGTTTATAGTACTCACTGCGACAACCTGCTGTGTTAACATAGATCATTGTGCCTAATATATGTAGTTCCTCATAGGTGTAATGTGAATACTGAGTGTTCAAGAAGAGATAAGGTTTGCGTTCAGTATGATTTGTTTGTCAAATAAATGTTTAAACCATGTGCAGATACAAACGCAGCTTTAATGAGAGGGGTATATAGTTTCATGTCTTCCAACTCCGAACACGCGTTAATTTTAGCTCAACTCGTTTATAGGTTCGGGCTCGACTCACTGTTAGTGGTGTTGCATACGTAGTCAGGTTGGAAGTATCTACTCTTTCACTATTTATTATGTTAATTCATGTTGTCATGCAAACAGTACATCACTTACTGCAGAGGAAAATCTCGTTTGTGAGTGAAGACACATCCTTCCATTGTAATACCTTATTGCGATGTAGTCATTATGCTGTTTTTTCAGAGTGGAAGCCCCGTTTTTTGTACATGGTCATTTTACTGGCACACGCTGTAAATGAAATTGAAATTATTTTCAAAAAATGATAGAATGGAGTGGTGAATGGATAACGCTTCAGTATGTGTCGTGCCCAAACCTCGAATTGTCGGGATGGGCAGCTCCCTTAATTACGCACGACAAAGACCCATGATATCTGGGAACGTAGGCAGCAAATGGTGAGGTGAGGTGAAATGGGGTTTAACGTCGCGTCCAAAGTTATTGCACTTACATAGCGACGTGCATGTGTGTGTGGGGTGTGTGTGTGTGTGTGTGTGTGTGTGTGTGTGTGTGTGTGTGTGTGTGTGTGTGTGTGTGTGTGTGTGTGTGTGTGTCTGTGTGTGTGTGTGATGATTGTACTAGTCCGGACAGATGCAAAGTGCTACCTCACTATACCATGCTGCAATTTAACATGAATACCCAAAACAGATGCAGTATACTGACTTCGAGCCTACCAGTTCTTGATCACTTATCTGCTGCGGGGGCGGTCGGGTAGCCTAGCCGAAGACCCGGGTTCGATTCCCGACATGGGTACAATGTGTGAAGCCCATTTCTGGTGTCCCCCGGTGTGATATTGCTGGAATATTGCTAAAAGAGTCGTAAAAACCATACTCACTCACTCACGCACCCAATTATCTGCTGCGACATATTTTTTATCGCATGATCAAATACTTTTGTCCGTTTTGGAAGCCGCCTTCAAAGTTCTGCAACTTGGTGTACCACATTTGTCTTTACTCATTCAACATAACTACAATTAGATGGACACAACAACGATGACGATTAATTCGCTTTTTTCTATCTGCATATATATTAGTGTGTGGCAAACAAACTGGTGGTTATAATCAGAACAAAAAGGGCATCCGAACCAACGATCATTGTATTTTGGCAAGAGTAAGGGACTGCACCATCCGTGCTCCCGACATATATAAATGTGGGCGCATATACATACACGGTATTTTGTCCTTATATATTGTCACGTGACTACTACAAGAGTTTATTTATTTATTTATTTATTTATTTATTTATTTATTTATTTATTTATTTATTTATAATTATATTTGTTTATTATGTATTTTTTATTATAATTATATTTATTTATTTATTTATTTATTGATGTAATTTTTTTAATCGGTATGATGATATATTGGCAAATATAATAATGATAGTAAATTGATTCTGATTGGTCAACCAGAGATTTCAAAATCACAATTCCACCTCTCTGATTGAACCAGATAATTTGACGTCCGCATCACAGCAGAGGGTAATATTGATGGAAAAGTATTTCTTTTTCAGTCATTGTCGGTATTCATTTTTAAATAATAATGTGTTCAGTTACAATTTACAAAATGCTTATTAGTGGTTCTTACAGTATTCACAGCATGCGTGGCAATACAGGTTTTGTAAAACCACGAAAGAATTCTGAAAAGAGAATGTGTCACGCATTTCAAGATTAGGGGACAACAGAGTGGCGTTATTCTATTTATTACCTACTGGGGCAAACATATCGGGGTTCTTAAAAATCATGTGCCTTAGCGTCATATCACGTCACAAGACAACAGTGTATTATTTCCGCCATCCGGACGACATTGTTGACGTCATTCAAATCTTATTGTGACGTATGGTCGGAATGACGTCACGCTAGAAACGACGTCATAGCTGAGGATGACTTGCTGTACTTATACTACTTACACTAAAATTCGTCTCTGTATGTAGACATCTTCTTCGTTAATAAATAGAACATTATATTCGTGTTCATGTCTCACTATGTTTAATATACCTCTATATGCCAACTATGATGTCATAACTTTTGCGTCACAATAAGAAATATGACGTCTTAATAGTTACGTGAGTGGAGGAGAAAACATTGCAAGGCTTTGTTACAACCCGTTTTGTAATAAAGTTGCAAAGTGTAATAATTATTACAAAATGGGTCTGGCCCTCGGCATTAAGGGGCTTAAACAAGGACTGGTCGGCTCGGAGTCGGTATACTGTGTCTGAGTGGGGTATTCATGTTAAACTGTGGCATGGCATCTCAGTGAGCTAGCACTATAAATCGGCATCAGTCCGGACTAGTACAAGCAGACGCACGCACGCACACACGCACGCACGCACGCTCGCAGTCACACACACACGTACATGCACGTCGCTATATAAGTGCAATAATCTTGGACGCGACGTCAAACCCCATTTCACCTCACCTCGATATGGTCATGAATATATACTGTCCATATAAATGCAAGCACGTGTACACATACGCTATCTCCAGTGAAGAAATATACATCTGTTTCAGATATGATTCCAAAATGTATGATGATGTACACAAGATGACGCTACCAATCAGTATTAGAACTATGTAAACAACACACCCATACAGCTTTCCTTAACCATTGTCTAATCTACATTTCACTGTTTCAAAGTACAATGGCTATCTCTGTTGTTTGTCGAGGTTAGTTTATTCATGTTACCATGATATTGGATAGCATGCCGCGTGCTCGGTATTATGGCGAACACCACACTTATCAAGCTATTGCGAAACATTTGCCGTTGTCTGTCTGATCACGTATAAACGTTCGCGCTCCACGGATCAACGAAGAACTGAACACAGGTTGCTTGGCGGCCCATCATGAAGACCCTTCTGATTCTGTTCTGTGTTGCTGGACTGTGTAAGACAGGTATGATAAGACAGACTGTTTCATTACGTTGTTGTATGTTAGCCACATCAACATAGAATTTATCAAATGGTGACGGTGTAATCGTATGACATGTTGTCCACAGTCTCAAGGGTGCGGTCGGGTAGCCTAGTGGTTAAAGCGTTCGCTCGTCACGCCGAAGACCCGGGTTCGATTCCCGACATGGGTACACTGTGTGAAGCCCATTTCTGGTGTCCCCCGTCGTGATATTGCTGGAATATTGCTAAAAGCAGCGTAAAGAAATACTCACTCACTCACTCACTCACTCACTCACAGTTTCAAGTGTGTATGTACACCCAAGTCAGTATCTGAAGAATAATATGTACACTTCTCCTCCGTCATTCTGTCTCCTCATTCATACCTCTAACCCCCTCCGCGGTCAAGTGGACAGAGTATCTGCTCAGAGCGCGGAGCCCAAGTTACCCCTAGTTAGTCAAACGACAGCGGAATTAAGATGATTCGATTCCGCTGGCCGCGTCATACGATACACAGTCAAGTCCCGTTAATTCGACATATGTCGGATTAACGAGTATGTCGAATAAACGAATCAGGTAGTATAAACGTTCGTGATATAAAATTGGACAACTACAAAATAGGTCACTATTAACTTGTGATTTTAACAGAAACTGTTAGCTTTTATCTGTTGAATACCCACCCAGGTGAGCCACAGGTTCATAGTGTTATATCTAAATGAGTTGTAGAATATCTTTTGACAATGTTTAGGAGCGTGTTATAGCAGTTTACAATTTACATACACTTATATCAATGATTCACGTTTCAGTGCACAGTTCCTGTACAGCATGTGTGGTGGGCACTCCCAAGTCTTTGTGCACCGAAGAATATATCCCTTCGGGACCTGAAAGTAAAGCCTGTGCCTCCATCAGTGAGTAGAAGCTTTGTTAGCTCTATAATGCTTTACCTTTATAATGCTTCCGTTGGGTCATTTGGTGACATGGCTTAGACCGACACGGTGTGTTTGTTTGTTTGTTTGTTGTTTAACGCCGCACTCAGCAATATTCCAGCTATATGACGGCGGTCTGTAAATAATCGAGTCTGGGTCAGACAATCCAGTGACTGGCATTACGAGCATCGATCCACGCAATTGGGACCGATGACATGCATCAACCAAGTCAGCGAGCCTGACCACCCGATCCCGTTAGTCGCCTCTTACGACAAGCATAGTCGCGGTGTGATTCCAATGTATTTTCCTGTGTTCCCTGTAGACTTGTCAGCGCAAACTGAATTTGGACGCATAGTTGGTATAGCTCAGAAATAAAAACACATCATGTTTACCTCAATTCTGCCATTAAGAATTAACTCAAAGTTGGATGATTAAATCGCGAATTCTTAGGCCTGAACAAAAGCAGTGGGTAAAGCGCATAGGGAAATAAAATTGAGCAATATGTGTCTTACATTTGTTCCCTGTATGCAAATAGAAGTGGTCTTAATTTTAGAAAATTGTTATTAGTAAGTCAAATCCGCGATTAATAAGTGTGGTCCGCCCTGGTGTAAATACAATGACGGAAAAAAGTGGGTCCACATTTATAATTTTGATTATCAACACTAAGCCAGCCCAACGATTACTGAAGCCTGGCGATATACCAGTGTGGGCATACTTGTTTCGATCATAGCATAAGACGGGTAAAAAGTGGTCCACATTTTAGAAACATATTATCGGCACTAAGTCACCCTAAAGGAGGCTGGCGATTTACAAGTGTGGGTCCAATTGTTTCGAATAAAATATATAATTCGACAAAAGTGGACCCACATTTTCGGATATTAATATCAGCACAAAACAACCATATGGATGAGCATACCCGAACTCAAAATACTACAACTACTGACGAAATCGTGGGCCCACCTGCAGCTATCTCTATTAAGAAAACAGGAAATAATTTCAGGTAAATTTCAGGTAAACAGGTATATTGACAATGTATTTTAGTGGAATATGAAAAAGTCCCAATTATGAGAGAAACTTCAATTTTGATCTTGAGTTAGGACGTATTTCTTTGGTAAAGTAATTGATCACCACTTTGTTTTCAGGCCAGGTACTGTGCAAGACGTACGGCAACTACGAAATCTTCTGTACGACATTGACAACCGATGTCCACTGCAAGAAAGTAGGGTACTGCAGTGGTGCCAGGTTGGCGCCTGGCCTGGTCCTCATTTCTGTCGTCCTCGCTTTTGTAATCAAGATCGTGCACTGATAAACTGCTTTTGTCGCATGAAATGAAACTTCAAGCATTTTTTTAATTCATACTTGATATTACTGTATTACAGTAAACTACGGTTATAACGAACACGCTCATAACGAACTGACCCATATAACGAACTTATTTTTTAGTCCCGACCATTTGTTGTATACATGCTGTATATATGCTTATAACGAACTACGTTATAACGAACTAAAATAAGTGGTCCCTTTGATCTCGTTATAACCGTAGTTTACTGTATTTACATATTGTACCGTGATTATTTTATCAAACAGTTACTAAACATTTATATAGCTGTATATTGCTGAGTGTGGCGTGAGGTAGTTACGTATTAATATTAATTTAGATTTTCAACCGTTCCAATCTACACACTAATAACTTCCTGCGGTCTTGAGTATTTAAACACTTCACTGCCTCAGCACACAAGAGAGAGAGAGAGAGAGAGAGAGAGAGAGAGAGAGAGAGAGAGAGAGAGAGAGAGAGAGAGTGAGTACGGTTTAACGCCGCTTTCAGCAATATTCCAGCAATATCACGGCGGTGGACACCGGAATGGGCTTCACACATTGTAACCAAGTCGGGAATCGAACCCGGGTCTTCGGCGTGACGAGCGAACGTTTTAACCACTAGGCTACCTGACCACCCCCTCAGCACACAAGTATAGTGTGAACACTCGGCTCTTTTGTGATTACCGGTTCGTAGTTTTTCAATTGATTGATTGTTTGGTGTATAACGCCGCACTCAGCAATATACCAGCTATATGACGTCGGTCTGTAAATAATCTGACCAGACAATCCAGTGATTGACATCATGAGCATCGATCCACGCAATTGGGATACGATGACATGCATGCGAGGCTGTCCAGCTGATCCCGTTAGTCGCCTCTTACAACAAGCATTGTCGCCTTTTATTTAGTAAATGTAACTAGTTTCATAAACTCTTCACACCATATAGGACACATTTTTGGAGACAAGCAATGCAATACATTAAGGGTACACTTTGGCCACGTGGGTTGCTATGTATTATCTAACGAGGTACCACATGGCAATCAAGAGTTTACATGTTGTGAAATATTGTGATACTGATTATCACGTTCGATGATCGTTAAGTTGAAGGGAACACGTGACATACAATTAGGCGTGAGTCGGATACATGCGTGAGCACCTTGTAGAATTGGACCGCCTACTGCATCTTGGCCATGACATAGTGTACTCAAAGGTTTGGTTTGAGAATTCGGACATTACCCTGTGTACTGTTGTAGGGGGTTGTCGACATTAGCAGCCCTTTAAACAACGATATATCTCAGGAGTTGTGTTCTATCCTGCAGACACTGTGTCAGGTGTATCACACACCCAGTTACTATAGTGACACCATGGACACATGGGATAATTTGGGCAAATAGCTTCTGAGATATATAATGTAGTATGCTGTATGAATTAATGCAGTCTTCAATGTTATAATACTACTGAAGGGCATATCTGAAAAATGGGACTTATCGACAAATATTTCTTTCTTAAATACTACCCGTTACAGGCATTCTGATCTTTATATTATACTTTGTACAGTTTAATAAACAATGGCGAATTGTGTATCTTTCTACATTTTGAATTAATTATAATTTCTGCAATAAAACCTTAGCATCAGATAGTGATATAAACGAATATGATCTATACTGTGATAAATGAATTATCAATTTCGTATTATGAATTAGATAAACAGAAATATGATAGTAAAACAAATTATTTTAATCTGTTCGTGTGAGTAGGTAACGAGAGATCTAGGCAACTCATTAACGTATCCATTTGTGAAAAATGAAATATTTAAAGTTTAGGGGGTTGAACATGTACATTGAATGACAGGGAAGAAAGCAACGCAATAATTAAATTATGAATCAAATTATGTTATAATTATAACAGAATATATAGAAATATAAGTTTAATTTCTCATTGTTGGAAGGTGTTTAATAATAGATTTTGTTTGTTTGTTGTTTAACGCCGCACTCAGCAATATACCAGCTATATGACAGTGGTTCGTAAATAATCTAGTCTGGACCAGACAATCCAGTTATAATCACCAAGAGCACCGATCTACGCAATTGGGATACGATGACATGCATCAACCAAGTCAGCGAGCCTGAGCACCCGATCGTGTTAGTCGCCTTCGAATGGCGACAAAACGGTACCAGCATCACAGATACCAATAATACATTAGATCCCTATAATTACTTTAAAGTTAAAACATGTATCTAAATAGAAAATTGGAAGGATACACTTCCGACATTTTTCGTATTTTGTTTTCGTTTGGAGAGAGAAGTTGTGATTGGTATCTGATGGGTGCAAACAGGTGTTCCCATCCGCCCAGGCCTTACGGCAATGCTATAGCCAAAAAGGAAACAAGCCTAGATGTTCAACAGGTTCAGGCTGAAATTTCCATCCCACTTGGGCTCCTTTTAAATTTAGATATAGTTTCTCGTGTCGATATGTGTCAAAAGAAATGAATTAAATATGACAGCACTGGTGAATAGGTGGTATGCGCATGTCAGCGTCGATCCTACAATATCCTTTTATGCAAAATACATATATGCTGATGAATTAACGTAGTAATACTTCGCAAATATATGTCAAGATGTATACATCAGTAACATCTCGTGATCTTTATTCGTGCTTTAAGCTCTTTTTCTACCGGAGATTATGGGGTGTTACATCACACCAGAAAGCCAGGTCCAAATTCAAGTCATAATTTCATGGTCCGTCTTGTATGTTGGAAACCAATATCGCAATATGGCTGAATATTGCTAAACGTGGTATTAACCCGATTACTCACATAATAATTCCATTTTCTACAATCATCTACGAACACTATCTTTAAGGAGGTATATCTATATCATCCAAATGTCCATACATATATGTCCACATATATATGTATAAAGCAAGTCGTCCTGCACACTTCCTTAATAGTAGTTTTTGTTTGATTGTTTGTTGTTAAACGCCGCACTCAACAATATACCAGTTATATGACGGCGGTTTGTAAATAATCCAGTCTGGGCCAGACAATCCAGTTATTGACATCAAGAGCACCGATCTACGCAATTGGGATACGATGACATGCATCAACCAAGTCAGCGAGCCTGACCACCCGATTACGTTAGTCGCCTTAGTACAAGCATGGGTTGTTGAAGGCCTATTCTAACCCGGATCTTCACGGGTATTTTTTCGATAATAAGGTACAATGAAATGTTGTATATGTCCATAATAAGTGTGTATAAGTAAATGGATAATATATCCATACACGCAAATTAAATGGCTGCATATGGTTCTTTGATTAACTCTTTTACAAGTCAATATTTCAAGACATGTATTTGATATTCATAATAACTCCACAATAGCTACACAATGGCGACAAAACGGTACCAGCATCACAGATATCTATATAATTACTTTTAAGTTAAATCATGTATCTAAATAGTAAATTAGAAGGATTAAAAATATACACTTCCGACATTTTTCGGGTTTTTTTTCGTTTGGAGAGAGGAGTAGTGACAGTAGTGACTGGTAGGTGTCTAGCCGGGAGAGCCACATTTCAGAAATGGCTATTGCCGGTAGAGCCACATTTTCAGCTGAGTGCATTTCACCTATTCTAGCGGGTAATTACTTAATCCGATTACCGATACCTTTATATGAGTGTCCCACATTTAAATTATTAAGCGTGGTGTTCTTTAGAGATACCTTTAAATGAGTGTCCCACATTTAAATTATTAAGCGTGGTGTTCTTTAGAGATACCTTTAAATGAGTGCCCCACATTAGTTGGACTTTGAACGTGCAGCTCACAATGCCGTGACTGATGTATTTACTGGGACATTAGTTAGAGGGTGTTTCTTTCACTTCACCCAATGTTATTCAAGCTTCTTGTTATGCAATTTAAACTATAATGTAATTCAGAGACATTACGCATGCCTGCACACTTAGAATGTTATTCAAGCTTCTTGTTATGCAATTTAAACTATAATGTAATTCAGAGACATTACGCATGCCTGCACACTTTGACGAAAACAACTGCACATACACAGCCCGGATGTGATGCAGTGAGGCTGCAACGTTCCCACAACTACTTGTGTGCAACGACTTCGGTATGTGCTACCCCCCAGAGATAACATTAACATACACACTTAAACTCACGATAAACTCATAGACACCAACAGGCATTTATCATGAAACATACAACTGCGCAGTTGGTGATCATGAAACGTAAACGATACCCAAAATTGTTTAAGCTGAAAACGCCAAGCCGACAGGTAGCAAACAAAGTAACGATTTAAGCTTATTTCTCAGAAAAAACACCTGTTTGTGCCAAACAGGACTGATTTACATTGTTAGGTAACGTATATACATACCAGGTTTGAGCCGAGAGCTGCCCCAAGCTGGGCCATGTTGCCGGGTCCCACAGATGCTCTATGCTGAGGTGGTTGGTTGGTTTGTTGTTTAACGCCGCACTCAGCAATATTCCGGTCTGTAAGTAATCGAATCTGGACCAGACAATCCAGGGAGTAATATCATGAGCATCGATCCACGCCATTAGGATCGATGACATGCATCAACTAAGTCAGCGAGCCTGATCACCCGATCCCGTTAGTCGCCTCTTACGACAAGCATAGTCGCCTTTTTCGGCAAGCATGGGTTGCTGAAGACCATTTCTACCCCGGATCTTCAGATGTGACATGTCTGGGACTTAGCTACTTACCGGGCCAGTCCAATGTCCGTATACCTTCTCGTCTGAGATAATCGATGGCGACCTTGGCACGATATGGTCTGGCATTGTCATCTTGCAGTTCAACATATCTGCCGATTTTTCAAACGAATGGAACGACCGAACGTTTCGTCAACACATCGCTGGACTGTCAAATGTCTATTCACAATAACCAAATCACTTCGCCTGTCATGTGTGATACCGCCCCACACCATAACTCAACCACCCTCAAACTGGTCAAGTTAAAGAATTGTGCCCTGGCATAACGCTCGCCACTTCGT